GCGCACGCAAATGTCAAACGAACACGTGCGTATAATGACATAGAGTTGTTACAACACCTCTTAGAATAAAAATTTCCATTTTTAACCGGCTTCAAAAAGAAGGGTGTTGTTAATTCGTATTTTTTATGCTTGTTACCTCATAACTCCGTCAATTGTAAACCGATTAGGAAAGTTCTTTTTTTATCTCAAAGGATATACTTACAAATTAGTCCCATAGAAATTTTATCAAAATCGGTTCAGTAGTTAAATTTTTAGACCAAAATAACTGATTTTGTCACAATTGAACTCGATTGTTTTTTGTGGGTCACAGAATCACAGATACAGTCTTTAATTATTATTTATTTACTTTAATTGACACGGCGAACTTTATAGTTAGTTTATTTTATACATTGGTAGTTATCTCTGCAAACATTACTTTGTTAGTTACCGAAATAAAAACTAGCTCTCAAGTTAAAACCAAAATACACATTTACAAACTTTCATTAATAGAGCAGTTTCAGATACTAGCATTAACGAACATTACGACACAGAAATTTTTATATAATTAAAACTATACCCTAATTGAGTAATTTAGAAATCGTGTATATATATTTTATTGATAATAATGAAATATACTGAAATATACCAGTGTAAATAATAACATTTACTTGAAGTTATTAGATAAGTATTTTAAAAATCACGTAAAATAATTGGCACCTTACATTTTCTTCTGAAAATAATAAAATATATTTTGTTTATTTATTACTTGGATATTTGCATTTTATTATCACGTACATTATAATATGTAGATTCACAGTCAAAATGTGATATTAATTAATTTATTATCCTTTCCTGGCTGCTTTTGTTATTTTTTTAAATTAACTATAATGAAAATTATGTGCACCTCATTAAATTAAATCATAACTGTCAACGTTTTCATCAAAAACCGTTATTAACAACAATATATCACCAAATAACTGTTATCAGATATCGTACATCGTTCGCGGTGGTATTGCGTGCTCTATACACATTAGCGCGTTACTTTCCCTCTCAAGCCAATAACAATTGCACTAATTAATGGACAGTTACGTGCTATTTTGTGTTATTTGTTATTTAGTACAGGGTTGCAGCCCATTTCTGTTACTACACGGTCACTTTTATAATCCATTGTTGCTATAGGTACCTATAGTTGCTCATAATAAATAAAAATACTTTAGAAAATGCCATCATATTTTATTGCTGTCTATCAATAAGGAAACGACACGGGAATAAACTATAAAGTTTAATTTCCTTTACTAATTGTTTGATGATTTAAGCAATGGTTATTATTTCTTCATTTCATTCAAAATCCAGTAGTAATCACACGATTACCCGTTCTAAATTCAAATATGTATTTTAAATTTAATACGTATAATAAAAATCTTATCGTTCGATAGTACGGTAATTTTAAAATAGGAACCGTGAGACATTAATTTTTTTGATATCGCTTATATTATATTGATATTAATAATCTTTGAAATTGACTCTGCAGGACTGTTGCATGTATATATTCACACATAATGTAATATCACATATAGTATTGACTGAATCACGAACTTTTCCACTCCATTGCAGACAGAATAACCTCGAAACAAATAACACCTGATAACAGCGCCTTAGCTGACCAAACATCCAATATTAGAACGGATAACCGCATGGCACCCCCGTCATAAAGGAAAATTGGAATTTCGGCAGGGCATAGGAACACGTGGCGTTTCCCACGGCCGAATTAACAGCGCGTTCAGTGATGCTCCCGATGTAATTGGAAGTAGTGACGTGCCGATTCCACTTTTTTTTTGCTATTCGAGTATTTTGGTATTACTTAAAAAACTCGAATCCTAACCCGTGTCTTAAGATTTATACAAGTGCCTATGTGTATTCGGATACTTAATCAAACTATTGACTTTTCAATAAATTTCTGAAGCCTGTTTTAGTGAAGATAATAAATAATCCATTATTTGTGAAGTGAGATTTTGAGGGAACTTCATTATATAGACTATATGATATTATTCAAAATACTATAATCCTTACTAATATTATAAGAATGAAAGTGAGTTTATCTATTACCTCTTAGCGTGTCAACAGCTTAATCAATAATTATAAAATTTGGTACACATTTTTTACTATATAAGATGAAGGATATAGGCTATTTTTTATACTGGTTAGTAAACATATTCCGATCATATGGACGAAGTCACGGATAAAGCTACTAACAAATAAATAATAGTTATTACAGGTTCAGTCATTTAATAAATTTCACTTTGGTATTTAAGGAAAAAATCAATGTAATGATGAAACAAAAACAAAAACTTACTATAAATATGCAATTAGAATTCGAGTCCAATGAGTACTCGAAACCTATAATCGAATATCAATATTATTGTTTCCGAGACATTTCTTTGAAGAACAAAATATCAAATTCCAAACAATATGTATAAAAAAATATAAGGCTATAAAAGCTGCTAATATATCAGTAACTGTCGTTTATTAGAATTTTGTATATTGAGTACTCGAGTAGCCGAGTAACTAGTAGGTATTTGAGTCAGTACTCGAAACAATCGGATTTGGCGCATCACTTATTGGAAGCATTGTTTGATCGGGGTTCCTTGTAATGGTTACAATATGAAATTCGCGAGGTTAGGTACCTATTGCCGATAGATCGACCGCTTGTTTGCTGAATATGGAGAAATTAAAATGAACAAATATTGACTTTTGATTTCGTTTCCGTATTTTCATTAATTCATAAGTATCTATCTATATGTGTTTTATGCTAATTTCAAGATTACTTATATTACTAGATTAATTCATTAAATTGTATTTATTTATTAATTATATATAAATTTATTAAATAAAATAGACTGTTATTAAACTGATATAAAAATAAACAAGAAATTATAACTCTATCACGTTTGATTTACCTGTTAATAAACCATTCTTAATATTGTAAATTGGATAAGTGGAGTTTAAATAACTTTTATTATAAATTCGTTGAAAAATGTTTCTATGGAAATCGATCAGTCACGCGAAGGAAGTCGCGGGTAAATACAAGTATAGTAAGTCCATGGTACTGCTCATATCTATAGACGACGATTTTTATCAGGTGGCCCGTCAGCTTGTTCATTCTAAGTTGTATAAAAAAAGTATATTCTTTAAACCCAAATATAATTAGATTTTGCTCTGTGGTCCCGGCATAGAATAAGCTACCCCTTCCTTTGCCGCAAATGTCGTCAAAGGCGACTAAGGCAGCAGCGTATTTTTCAAACATCACCAAAGCCTAACTGCGGCTGCTAACTCCGTCTACCAAGTGTAATCCCCCAACAGGAGGTTTATATTTAGTAGTGGACTGTTAATGACTGACATGCTGATAATAATTGGATTTCGATCGATACACGGTAAGTTAAAACTGTTAGCATTATTTTGAACTGTTCTATTAGCGAAACTGAAGATTTTTATAAAAGGAAAATGGGGCGACAAACAACAAAAAATTTCGAGGCTCTATATTAATATGGTACATTCAGATATCTAATATGGGGTACTAATTTTTTTATTTTTATTTGTGATTCACGAAATTTCAATCCTAATATATTTTATAGCATGGACAAATTCATGATTTGACGTACGACTGTGGTTCTCCCCTGTCTATAGCCAGTAGATTCAGCAGTTTTAACGCTCCGGGCATATTAATATTATTTGCCGCAATTGTTAGCGGTCTGCCACCCTTAATTTCGCCGCTCTAAACATTCTCGTAGCTTGCTAAGCGAGACTGAGTAACAGACATTTAATACATACTTATGATACTGATTTTGTCTCGTGTTTTTAGTCATGATGGAAACGTATCCTATGTTAATTTAGAATAAGGTCTATCTTATTTTTTTTTTTACAACACAGGGGCAAACGAGCATGCGGCTCACCTGCTGGTAAGTGACTACCGCCGCCCATGGTCACCCACAACACCTACGGCATTGCAGGTGTGCTGCCGGCCTTTTAAAAAGGAAAATGCTCTGTTCTTGAAGGTTATGTTATCTATGTAAGAGCTTGCATTTCAATCCATGAAGCCATTAAAATGTAATTAAGTAACAATCTCGAATATTCACATTTATTATTAGGTACTAGTAGGAGAGCTAATGCAAATTTTGACTTCAAACTTTCAAGTGACGTCTACTTTCATATTAAAGAAGAAAGTGTGTATGTATGTCACTCTACCCATCATAAGTACCTACCACCACCATTACTTGACAATTCAGAGATGGGTGATATCCGATATCTATATATTGAGTTATTCTGGACATTGATAACCAACCATTGCGGTATCGTCAATACCAGTCCGATATCTATATTCATTACGAGCGGGATCTTCTTTTCGATATTATATATATCTGTTATTGGACCAATATATGTATAGATAGATATTGCACCTACGATATGTGGATATTACCTACTTTTACATCATGGATCTCTTCCTAGAAAAGAAAGATATTAGATGTTAGACAGGCCGTCTGTTATTGGGTTTTACTTCACTATTGGCGTATACGTTTTTATTATATTTAAATTTCTTGTAAGCTAGATAGATATTTCAAAATCATTATTATATAATATGCATTTATCTCTTATTTCATAAAGAATTTTTTTTTTCAACTTAGAATGGCAAACTAGCTGACGGCCCACCTGATGGAAAGTGGTAACCGTCGCCTATAGACATGAGCAGTATCATGGACATAACAAAGTATACTGTGTCGCCCATGATACCCCCCATGCGTTGCCTTTCCTGACGACTCAGGTGTTATTCCTTTGTACCCTGTAAATTCACGCCATATCCCACCCTTCAAACCGAAACACAGCCATGCAAACACAACTGCTTCACGGTAGAAACATGAATGGGACAGAGGTGCCAAAGCAATCGACTTTTGTACAAAGTCTCCCTCATATATCCCTCAATATTATTAAAATAAAAAGCATTTATTTTTTGAATAGATTTTATTCTTACAGACAATTCCATTATACTTTTATTTATACCCTAAATACAGATAGATAACAGTATGTACGGATATTAACACTTACACTAATGTACATACTAAGTATCTTGATTTACAGTTTTCACATCATCTTCCAAGTCACGAAGTAAAATAAATGAAATATTAAATATTAATGAATATTAAATCATTATAGTAGAGATATTTAATACTGGCAACACAAAATTTTAAGTAAAAAAATCTTTTATATTAATTACTATTTTTTTTTAAATAATCACTGCAAAAGCTGCCAGTTTGAGATTCTTTATGGTTTACATTGAAGTTTTAGATCCTTTTTAACTATTACGCGTGACTTTCATTTAAAGTTTCATTACTGTATATTTACATAATACCTATTTACACACATTTTTAATACATTTCGTGACTTAGAACACGATAAATACTGTAAGTATATTGTAATGTACGGAAACTCATTCGTCATTTAAAAATATCTTGAGAGTAAAAATTTATTTACAATGCGTTTATTTAAATGAATTTTAGCACACTCAAATCATAGCTTCTGTGGTACTTAAGCAAAAATAAAGAGGTATGTAAATAATATAATATTCAATTACGTTAAATTGAGAAAGTTTAAAAACCTTATTAAAAATAAGGAATGGTTGACAAAAAAAAATTAAAATAAATTTGAGATATTTGACGATTTTATACTTACACGTAGAGTATCAATTAAATACATTATCAATATCGTACAGATTTACTCATAATACTTTGTATTTACATTACTTAATATTTACATCATGTCTGTCCGTTAATTGTCTATATAATGATTGTACTTAATTTAATTAAATGTCAATAGAAATATACATTTATTAATATACAAAAACAAAATGCGCTGAATTGCCATATATTTTAAAATAGGAACCAAAATTATTTGCTTACAATAAACTTTCTTGTAGCTAGCCAGTTATAGGCCTACGTTAAATAAATACTTTTAATAACTCAATAAATTATAATTATTAATTATAAAACTTTTTCTGTACACTTACACTATGTATTCACAGTATCGCTATGTATTCACAATTATAGACTTTCGTGTTAACATAAATAAGGGGGATAAAGGATTGGACTAATTCTAAGAATAGCACAATAACAAAACTTTATATTAGATAATGTATAAATTAATAAAATCGAAAAAAAATAAATGTCGATAACTAGTTATTTTGCTGCTCTTTCGCTGCGTATCGTGTTGGAAAGTATTTAATTCGCTAATTCATAATTCTATTCGGTGTAACTTAACTTCATTTGTCAAATGTATCAGCATTTGTTACATACATTAAGCAGTATAAAAACATAAATGACAAATAAAACAATGTAAAATGTTATATTCTCATCGTTAACATTCTCAGAACTATTTCAGACAAAAATCAAACCATTACAAATATTTTTAACCAAAAAATCTTTTAACTATATTAAAAAGGTAGTTTCAATTTTTTTTCATAAAATTAGGTTTTCTGGAATAATAATATCAAAAGAACTTAATACGTTAGTTGATATAATATGCGTCTTGTTTACAGCAAATGAAAAAAATGCATGACAAGTACATTTTAAACTATTAAATACAAATTTATTAATATCATAAATATAGTTTCTTATCTTGTCCATCGTAAACGAGAATTCATCGTACTTCATCGGAAAATAATACTACGTTTACTACAACAATAAAAAAAAAAACGGTAAAAAAACTAACAAGTTCCATGAGTAAGTACATTTTACTGGAACTAAACTATTAGTAATGGACAACCAGAAGCCCATCACCTGATGTATACGTAGAAGATTGTGTTTACCTCAACGACCTTGTCGATAGCGAATCAATGAAATGAGGATACGATTTTAGAACCCATTAGAAAATCCATTTGAATTTAATTAGAGAGAAACAATTGGAAGGAAGCCTTCGAAATTGTAACGGTTTGCTTTATCTGAAAATATCCTGGAGATTTTAAAAACTTTACCTGAATGGTTAAAATATATTTAATTTTGTATAAACCAGACTAGGGCATTGTCGATAAAAGCTCAACGCCAAATGTCTATTAAATTTAGTTGGATATACGAAATGAAATATAACATGACTCATGTAAAATCGCTGATTTAACCCTTTTATTTTTGTCGACTAAAAGATTATGGATACGTAGAATTATGCACTGAAAACTATAAAATTTACCCGGAGAACTAAAATCACAATAACACTGCGTCTTATAAACTTCACAGTTTTATATAACACTGTTCAATAAGTCCACTTTGTAGCCCGTCGAGCCGCATCAGTCGTGGAAGTCTCGCGGCTCTGGCTTCAGCTACCAGACCAGTCCCTCGGGATGGAGAGGTGGTGGGGCGTCGCCAAAGGTGAACTCAGGCGACGAAGGCCGAGGGAGAACGAGGTGATCCGGAGGCGGGAACTGTTCGGGGAACTCGCCGCCTGGCAGCGTCTCCATTCCGCCTGCGAACCGACCTGCTCCAGTTACTATTATGGTTGGTGCAGTATGATTATGATTAAGTTAAACAACCTAAAAGACTACATTCTGTATGTTACAGTAGTATTCTTGCCTCCAAGATATTAAGTATTATATTAAGTATTGTAATTGCAAGACAAGCATTGCCAGATTGGGTATTTCTTCGCAATTTGAAATAAAAAATCTATAAGTTTGCGAAATTTTGAAGAAAAATAAAATGGACGCAGAGAAATTTGGATAAGTTTTTCGACACATTTTTAGTCATAGGCTACGGTAACCGCTTACCATCAGGTGGGTCGTATGCTTGTTTGTCACTTCAATGGTATAAAAAAAGGTGTAAACAATATAATAGGATATATACTCATACAATATACTAATAAAGGTATCAACAAGAAGTGAGAAACGACACAATTTCACACTATTTTCATTGCGGTGAATGAAAGTAGAGTTAATCTTGTCATTTGAAAAAAAAAAACTTTAAAGTTTGGTAAAAACAGAAATTGTATCTAGCAACATTGTACAAAACTGTATTCCTATTTCAAGGTTGAGATATGGTAATTAAATTATAGTGTATTCTGTGATGTCCATGTTACTATTTATGTCTGGTGACGGCTATCACTATACTTCAGGTTAGTCATCAAATTATTCACCTATCCAAGTTATAGAAAAAAATGCACTTAGGTATGCTAAGGTACCTATTTCTTTACTTACTGATAAAATCTTTGATAATGATATCTGATAGGTAGACCAATATTTTTTTATTATAAATTTTAATTGCACTATCTGACACTTACATGATAATCTAACAGTCAGATCAGTGTCTGTTAGTTATTCACGAGCTTAGTCGTAATCAGGGATTTCTGTAAAACAAAAGTATACGATATCTGTCAGATATGGTTTCAGAAACTTTATCAGCATATGCGTAGGTAAATAAATATATTAAATAATATACAATGATTATTATAAATAAGTAAATAAAGAAATATTATAATAGTGCTTGAAAAGTTTATTATTAGTTGATATCTTGCGAAAAGAGATCGAAAAACGTCGTCTAATACAATTGACATCACAGAATACTGTAACATTCATAGTACTTCTCAAGCGAAGCGGACCTCTTGCCAACGGATCCAATGTTCTTAATTAGTTTTATATTATTTAATTAGTTTTATATTATTTAATTAGTTTTATATTATTTAATTAGTTTTATATTATTTAAATAGTTTTATATTATATAATCAGTTTTATATTATTTAATTAGTTTTATATTTATTTATCTATTATTATATATAGCAAACCATTTAGAATAAATAATGAGTAGTTACACATGGAAAAGTCTACCAACCTGGCTGATTAAACGGCATCGTCGGCGGGGGATGAAAGAAAGGCGCATCATGGTGGAACGGCGGGCCATAACCAAACTCGAACTTGCCATCTGCTGTCGCGAAATACGGAAACCCCGGCGGACCCTCTTCTAGGCCTCCTGGAGACAAGTTCATGGGGAACCCTCTCATTTTACGCGAAGACCCAAAGAAGGGGCCTCTGCCCATTGACGTGAGTTGCTTTAAGCGACGCTCTTTCGATCGCTTGTTCTGGAACCAGACCTGTGAAAGAAATTTTTCTATTAACAATTTTTTTTTTGCTAAAAATTATAAACAACTTTTAAAAAGTGTTTCAGTCAATCTTCGATATTAAGTAGATAATATATGAACATATTAAAAAATTGAGAATCTCCATCCTCTTTGAAGTTGGCCAAAAAATGCATAACAACAATAATAAATAAGTAACATGTTAAAGGAAAGGAATTACATGCCGTGTGGTCCCGGCATAGAATGGACAACTAGTATTTCCTTTCGAAGTCGAAATTCAGTTTACAATAAGAGTGACTTATATTACCTACGCACAATTTTATAAAATATCTCTTTTAAGAATTACATTCGTAAATTTTCGTAACCGCAAATAAAACAGCGTCTCTAAAAAAGCATATAAAAGTCGTACGACTTTGTCGGTCGCTCACAAACTATATTACACGTTTTTTGTTCCAAGACCGCATCGGCGATTTTGTGGTCGCAACGACTATATTTGTTTACGGCCAATGAACATTATCCAAGTCATTTTCATACGTAATTTTCTTTTGTCATAAATAAAAGTATACACCATAATATTCTAAACAATAGGTACCTATTATTGTAACCTTGGTTTTTACGCTAAAGTCATTAAATTAGTTTCGTAATCTAGTTAACAGGCAATCTGGACTTTTATAGGAATATTCATAAGTATATTGGCTGCCACCCATGCAAATCTGATTTGCTGAAAATTGCTCTAGGTTTTTATTGTACCTAGGCAATCCATGGCACTGGTCCGATAATAATGTACAATGATGCGCATATAGTCGTTGAGTGTTCACGGTGCGTTACCGCGAATAAAGTGGTATTTCATACAAATCGTAACGTTTGAAATACCCAATAAAATAAATATTGTATACCTATATATTAAAATATATATATAGTAGGTAATATAAGTTAGATATTTATAAATAAAATAACGCATTAATGAGTGTAAATAATGAAATAAAATAAATAAGTAAAACTAAGAGAAGGATGCATAACTGCATAGAAACCAAGGAAAATAATTTTATTATCTGTACCAGAGTAGTTTCATACTAAAAGTATTTAATATTTAAAAAAAAATAGTGTAACTGCACAATTTTTTTTAACCTTATTGTCAAATATATAATAAAATGCAGTTATAGATAGAAGTAGTACAGAGGTGAACTTATGCGATATTTTTTAAAGAAATTTCTTCCATTCACCCGAAAGGAGAAATAAATAGCAAGATATGTACAAAGAAAACTACTAGGTACTGCCTTTTTTAATTCGAATATTAAAATATCTTATAAATGTATAAATATCTTTTAAATATTTAATACAAATAATTTAATTTAAAAAAATATTCGAATATAATGTCATGCCGTCTTTTTATTAAGATAGTTATAAGCACTACTAAGAACAGCAAATTGACTCACCGTATGAAATATAACCCAATTTCGTATGAAATAACCCCTAACTCTTATATGAGGCGATTCATCCTTTCTGGACGTTATGAATTGCCACGTAAGCGGTGCCGTGGTCGCGTGCCTCCCGCGCGTCTAATCCGAGCGTGAGTAAGTGTTCACGATCGCAGTTTAGTCTCGTGTGCGCCGATCATTATATTCGATATGGGTTAGGTGGGTGTGTTAACTCAAATCTATGGCATGCTCTTAAAAAACTGTGCACTGACAATGACCTACTGATATTGTGCAATTGTTGTTCTATTAGGGTAATTAAGCGAAAAACCGATTGCTGTCTGTAAAAAAATTTGCAATAAAATTAATTAAGCAATAGAGTTGATAAACGAATAATATTTTATGTTAGTTTTAAATAGGTACCTACATATCGTATTTCTTGTCGTGTTACCTAACATCTTAGGGTCACATATATCTATCTACATGACATTCTAACAAAATTAATAGGTTTCATTATTTGTTATTGACAAAATACCATTATAGGGTTATTCAAATATTTTTAATTAACATGCAAATTTTGTATGTCACCTAAGGTCACATTTTCAATCTTGTGAAAAATTATATTAAACCTAACATGTTCAGTAGCCTCAAAATCTGCAAGCTGAAGTGACAGTGGGCTGATCACATTTATCGAGTGAAAGATTTCTGGGGAGCAAACTGTTGTAGTGGAGACCGTGTACAGGAAAATGCCCCGTGGGTCGATTCACCTTCAAATGGACTGACGATCTTCGCAAGATAGTGGGGTGAGAACGGATACAAAAGCAGAGGGCGTTATATTTTATGGTTTGAAATAATGGAATAATATCTATAGCAAAACTATTCATTACTTTCAGCTTTACAAAAATGACCGCTAAATGTATCTAAGTTTAATATTTCCGCCAAAAAGATGGTTTTTATGTTAAAACTAAAATAAATTTTACAAGCCGTTCATTTTAAAATCTTACAGAATATTAGTACAGTATTTTCACATACGCCAAAATACCAGCGTTACGTGTTGAATAGTTTAAAAGTTACACAAACAAATATTGCACTCGTAAGTAGTAGTTTTTTTTTTGATGGGTGAAAATGGTTTGGTAACCCCGCCTGCGCTAACGGGATACGCTGGCGGAGCACCAGTGAAGGGTGATAAATGAGAATGAAAAAGGGTCAGTTAGCCCATCATGATGAATTCATCAGGAATTAACCATGATAGTTTCCAGGGGGAACCGCGAGGAGGTCGACCTGGTTGGGTATATTGCCAGCAATGGGATTCTCAGTCTCCATTACTAACAATCCCTTTCCCCCTTAAGTAGTAGGTTATAATCGTGAAATTGTAATGTACGGAATCATAATGCTATAGTCTTTAGAAATAGTAACATAATGTGAATACCACGGGCGTTTTAGCACATTTTGATGACATGATACTAGTTGGCCCTCTGTTTAACATTCCTTGTTGCATACTACCTACTACCTACTACCAGCTAATGAGTATAATTTCAGCAAATCAAAATCTCAAATTATACAAGTTCACAGTTAAAGTCAACATGAGCTACACAAATATGAGTAGAAAGAGAAACATTAGTAATGTGTAAATAATCTAAAAATAGCGTGTAATTAAAACTAATAGAGTAGTAAATAATGTTAAATTTTTCCGTCGGCTGACCAAGGACAGTCCCATCCGGCATATCATTGTTTCCATTAAAATATCTATTGGTCAAGCATTACATCTTATTTATATAACAAGTAACAGTCCACGAAGAGTATTTACAAGTAATTAAATACTATTTTTACATGAATTACATTTTCTATGGGTTACTGTAGCTTCAAGGGTATTAGAATGTTTTAAATATTATTAAAAACAATTATGTAGAAGCTAATATTTATTTACTATTTACGTATTACAAATTGGTGATGTTTTCGAATCTTATTGTATTTATTTCATTAAATATCGAGTTTTAATTATCTATTCTTATAAAAAACTACAATTTCTGATGTTGGTAATACAATTAAATTAAATTAAATTTGTAATTACGATTAAATTTGTTTCATTCAACATTTTACAATAGATATTTTTATTATACTACACTAATATTTATAAATGTCAATGTCAGGCTCACGCTAACGTCATGGCCGCTCATGACTAAGGGTCCGGGCGGTCTTGAAACTAGTCGAACTTTCTCAACTAAAATACACATACATATGTTAATTTCATTTGTTATTACATTAAAATATAATATGTACTTATAAAACTTTCAGTATAAAATGCAAAAATCAGTTTCTTATTACCTCTTGGCGTCTTAACAACTCAATTAATTGTCATAAAATTTTATATACCCGTAATATTTGGAGTGAAAAACATAGGTATATTTTATGACATTTCATTAAAATATTTTGATTATTCGTATGAACATATCTACAGGCAAAAATTAATAGTTACAAGAAACATTAAATGAATTAACTATATATTTATCATCTCTCAAATACGAGTACAATCAACAAATTTTGAAATCAATGAGTTTGCATACTTTTGTTTTCAAAAATATAGATACTTTATTGGAAAAAGTTAAAAAAAATCTGAAAACAAAAGCGTCATTGTAGCCCGAGCACGCTAGCCCGCTGCGCGCGGCACTTTGATCGCGCCGCCTTGCGCCCACGCATGCATTTGCACAGAAAACCCATTTACAACCTGTAACAAACTGATCCAATTCTAGAGTCGTGATTTTGATTAATGGACAGTTTTAATCGAATGGTCCTTTGTCGTGTTCTCTCATATCGTCTGTCGGACTGTCGCAATGTATCCCAGTTTAGACTTTAGATACACTTTGTAAAGGGATAGGCTAATAAAGTTGAAAAGATAATTTCGTTGAAATGTATGTAATAAAACATACGACTACATATGTCTGATTATTACATTAAATCAGCCATGAGTTAGTGTAATAGAATAATACTGTAACTGAGACATTAAATACGTAGAACTATCATACTTATTTATCTAATATAACTGCATAACATATATATATATATATATATATATATATATATATATATATATATATATATATATATATATATATATATATATATATATATATATATATATATATATATATATATTTTAATCATAATAAAAATGCTATTCCAGAGTATTATTACGGTCGTTCACACTTTCACAATTAAACTTCTCATAAATGTGAATGATGAAGACTAATCTCATTTTCGGTATGAACATGTTTTAAAAAACTTACAAGAATATTTGCTTCAAGACTAGTATATAGACTACACATATACATACTAGTAGATACTATACAGATATACATATCCAGGTTTTATTTAACACAGTGCCTGTTTCCATTTCTATGAGTAAGTTAGTGCAATAAAATTATTTATTACATTAGGGTGTGAAAGCTCATTAGTCACCCGTATTCTAAACTCCGCGTGTAAATGACATTAGTTCAGTGGTTTTAACGTAATGGAAAGACAACCGACAAGTTTTTTTTATACCTATATAGTTACATTGTTAGTATATTTATTTGAGGAAACAATGGTATAAGACAATACATA